AAGAGAGGCTGCTGTTGCCAGGAAACTCAGCCTTGCTCTTGTAAGAGGGGCTGCTGTTGCCAGGAGCTGGATCATCATACTTGCAAAGGTCCTGCAGTCAATGAGTTTCTATGATCAGCATTTGGAGATCCAAGAACAAGCTTGAAATGTATGAATGCTTACCTTCCTGAAGTTCTGGTCATAAACTGTGTTGCAAGTCCAACAAAACTTGACGCCAATCACATCGTTGCGCTCAACAACGGTAGTGCGCTCGGCAATGGTATTGCTGATCTCGGACAACATCCTGGATGTTCTCAAAAAAGCAAAGGTACTCGGTGAGAGAGGTGCTGTAAAGCGGGCTTGGTATTTGAAGGTGTTTGAAAGGGTTTGTGATTCAAACTTGTTTTGAACAATGAGGAGCAGAAGGAGGGTGGATGAGGCATCCATGGGAGGGTTTTGAAGTCCACCGAAAGCGCGCGCAAGCACAAGCAGATGCATGGAGCAGCTTCAGGGGCAGGAAATTGGTCACAGCTTGAAGGCCATCAGCAGCCTGAGTGGCGTGTGGCATCCCCTTGTGAGTATGAACAAAGCTTGAGTCACAGGCACAGCTGGTGGTTGCAATACAAGCAGGCTACTCACAACTCGGAAAGCCAGCGTGCCAAGCTTTGTGGAAGGTCACGAGGTGATCACACTGTGCCTGCCACCAGTCCGTTTGTCCAAGTGCGCGTGGTTGTTTTGGGGCTTGTTGAGACAGCCGGCCAGATCGCATCCATGAGTGAGTATTGCGGTCGCATGACTTTTACTTGGCCTGCCTCAAGCTTCTGAAGGATCTTGAGGGTCTCGGAAGAGCTTCTCATGATCCTTCATGATCTTGCACTGGTTGAGCATCAGAAGGAACATGCTGATACAGAGACAACGTAGACGAGGGCCTTCTCTGCGGCTGGGAAAGCGGACGCGAGTGCACGTCTTTGATGAGTCTGTGACTTGACTCCGCAGTCTTGCCCAGCTTTGCAGTCTTTTCTGTGGTGGTGTCGATGTCCTTTTTCGCATCGCCTAGGCGCTTACCAACACCATCCACAGGCGTGCCAAGTCACTCGATCGCCTACAGCGCCAACAACGTTTTGGACTTTGCCAATTGAGTGGAGGATGTGCTGCTCAGCAGTGCTGCTAAACCCCTGACGTATGTCGGCCAGCATACTTGTCTTGAGCGTGTCGGTCCAAGCAAGGACCTGTCGCTTCATCTTGTGCTGCTCAGCAAGCATATGTTTGCACTGTGCGCTTATTATCTGGCTGATGGAGTCCGTGAGCTTTGCTACAAGCGCGTGTGCTTGATCTTGTGCCGCGGTCCCGGAATGCTGGCTACGCCTGTCCATGTTCTCTCTCTAATCCCTCAAGCTGATCTACCATTGCCAGACACAAGATTCTGTTGGCTAGGATACTTGCTTTGTGCGCGTTGGTCCAAGTAAGGAGCTCTCGCTTCATCTTGTGCTGTTCAGCAAGCATATGCTTGCACTGCTTGCTGACTATCTGGGTGATGGAATTGGTGAGCTTTGCTTCAAGTGCTTGCACTTGGTTGTGTGCTGCGCTCTCAGATTCCTGGCTACGCCTCTCCATGTTCTCTCTCAGATACCCTCAAGCTGATCTACCATTGCCAGACACAAGATCCTGAGGTGCTAGTTGGCGTCTTGGGCAAGTTTTCAGAAGCCGCAAAAGAGTTGGCAAGCTTGGTTGTCAGGGCGCTGCATCGCGATCTGGTCCTTCTGTGGGGATCAATTTGTGACTGAGTCAGCATGATGTCAACCACATGGCGCAAGCTCGACTCACAGCCGGATTGTTTCCATCATTGCCTGACACCTGAGTGGACAAGAGCTCAACAAGTACTGATGCTTTAGCTTCAGCAAGGGTGCTTCGAGACAAGGTAGGACCTTCTGTAGCGGCGTTGTCTCCTCTACTACGCATTTCGATGTTGCTTGGATTTGGAATGCTTTATTGAGACCCTAGAATGATGCCCTTGACTCTCAACCAGCTATGAGTCACCTTTAGAACCGATTCAAAAGCGCCAATGAGGGCTGATGATGGCTAGCTGCAGACTGGGTGATGTGTGCCTCTACAGAAACATTCAATTTGGCATCACATGCTGCTGTACTCATGTCAAGCTGATTCACTTTGGCCTGACAGAAAGTCAAAGCTGGTGCTCCCTAGTCCCAATGCATGAGAAGAGGATCAATGTGGCCATTCAGACATTGCAGCAAATCATGATCGTGACACATACAGCCAGACTGATTGTCTTGGCTGAGCCCCTAGTGTCTGCAGAACTTGACATTTGCATTCCGTATGTTCCTATGAGCTCTGTTTGCCTACCCCTCACTTGAGCCCAAGGGCAAGGATGTTCATGCTGCTCACATTGTTGATCGAAGAATTCAGAGACGAGGGCCATCAGACTCGTCTACACGAAAGTTCCTACTAGCAATAGTGCTGCAGGAATCTGCAAGGGCTCAAAAGAGTATCCTTTCGTTCATGCCATATGTCATAGAGTAACCTTTCGTTCATGCCATTGCACACCTGCATCGAAATGGCTTAGATGCAGAACACGCGCCAAATCCAGT